AGAGTCACACATGAGTGAGGGTCAGCCACCCTCACTCTTTACTCGGCAACACTCAGCAACGCATGGACCTGTCCCATTGAAGCGGCGTTGCTGCGGTACTTGTGTTTCGCTCAAAGATTGAATGACTCGGGCACCATCTGGCTCTTCTGGTGTTTGTATTCTGTTTTGAAGTGGCCATCATTTTGGCAGCAGGCTATGAGTCACATGTTCTGGACGGACTGGGAGCACGCATTTTTTCTCACAAGATGATTCTCGAGGAAAAGCTTTAGCAGATAGCCTTTCCGTTCTTCCATCTTGGGCACTTTATCATCTCATTTTCCGGTTTTTCGACGCTGGCCGGGTGGCAAACCGTGGTCGTTGCTGCGTCCTTTGGCCGATTTGGAGACGGTGGCCGGCATTCAAGCCGTGCGCATCTCACGTTCGGCCTCGAGGGAAAATCAGCTTGCAGGTTTGTGCATGCTTGCCTTATATTCTGCTTATGAGGATCATGAGGGTCAAATCAGAACCAGTTTGCAGTCATGAGTCATGAGTTCAGCAGCGTTGCTACAGTCAATCACATGGATTGCATGTGATAATCCTTGAATCAGAGAAGTTCCCCTGGTGAACAGGGCTTTTGACCCAGAGCAGCTGTGGCGTTTTTGCAGCGACCCGAAATCGCTGCAGCGACGCTTTCGCGGCATGTGAGTCGTGTTGCTCAGCAGTTCCATGTCGCGATACACGGAGGGGACACGGATGGTCAAAAAAAGACTCCTTTGGAAATAGCATTACTTCATACAGCATCATACAACTCCATTTCTGAAACCTGCACTCACTATGCGGGTCACTCACAAGTCGTTTTCGTTTCTTTTCTTGGGTTTTTTGTTGATCGTTCAACCTCAGTCGTTTTCCAATTCGAACGTCCGAGTTGATCTGGGACCGAGTGGCGGATATTTATATTCAAATCTGGAGAGAGTCGAATCAACGAATGTGGTCCGTCCATCGGATTCAGCAAACTGTTCCATCGAGGCTTTGGGGGTCTCTTTTGGAAGAACAACGTGTATATAGCCCTTTTGGCTCATCCATTCTGAAGCCATCGCTATTAGGTTGGAGGCCGTGCTAGTAGGTTGAGGCCAAAGGAGAGGGTTTCTTGAAAGGCAGCCACGAGTCAGGATGTGTTGGATTTGGAATCTGTGATCCAGTCGCTGCAGTGATGCGTGGTCATTTCATGTCATGTCATGTCATTTCTGAAACCCAAACAACCAAAAGCAAGTGGTTGCTCAAGATTCTGCACATCAGACAGCTGTTTAGGGAACAACCTTAAATGGTTGTTCGGCAATCTATGAAAAACTTCTCAATGCGGGCAAAGCTTCAAGCATCTTCAGGCTTTTGGAATGTGTGGAGTCTCAACCTGGGGCCAACACCACCCAAACGGAGCCCACCAAGCACCACACCAGATGCTTCATGTGGCGCGTGTGGCTTTCGGTTCTCTAGGTGCATTGACCTTTCAGATGATGTTCGTTCTCTTGACTCCAAGTTCTATCCAATTGTTGTTGACCATAAACACGTTCAATTCGGCAAGACTTGATTTCCAAAACGATTGATGTTCAACCGGAGTCCCTTATTTCACACTATCTTACGTTTTGATCACCTTTTTGTGCCGTTTTCAACACAGAAATCCAGAAAGCTCCCAAAGAAAAGGGAAGAAAAGGACAAGTTACCGAAACCTTTGGGCCAGAGCATTGCTTTGCCCTCCCAGTACCCTCCGAGTCCGGAATTTCTTTAAAAATCACTGTTCCGTGGTCATTTGAGAGTCATGAGGGAATGAGTCCTATGAAAAGCTAGGTAGCTTCTTGTTCCTAGTAAGGCCAGGAGCCCTGTTCGTAGCACCAGCACGACACCACCAGCACGTTGAGACTTCACTCAATCTCCGCGTTTGGACCGGAAGATGTCCGCTCCACGACTGGAAGATGTCCGATCCCCTTCAGGCCATGTCGATGTCGGGGAGCGGATGATTTCCGCAACACTGGGGTTTGTGGCGCATCTACTTCCAGTGCAAAGTTGTATACACCACCCAAACCATACACTGGTGAAGGAGATGAAAGGATCTTGAGACATCTTAAGGCTTCATGTTCATTCATGTTCACGATAAAAACATCCTCAGCTGAGAAGCCCAAAGGCCCAGGCCACCGCTCAGGCCTGCCCCCAAAACCCCTTCCGGACGTGTCATCCGATATCCGACGAGTCACCTCAAAAAACCTGGCTCACATTAACAAGAAGCTACTAGGACCTCCTGACCTTACCAAGGTTCGCTACGAACCAAGGGCGTCGCTACGAACGGAGCGATCGGACGCGAACGTAGCGATGCCATGCGATGCCCTGACCGCTCCGTTCGTAGCGTCCTGCTTCACCACCGTCCGTCCGTCCCGGTTTCAGAGACCGGGCCGTTCTCAGCCGGAGAACGGCGGAGAACGGCAGCTCTCCGGTTTCTTCGCAACCCCTGGAAGCGCTTGAAGAGGGGGGGGGGGCGGGGTCAGGGCATTGAGAGGATTGAATCAATCTAGAAGGGTCGAAGAACCGAAACTGGCGTGGTGGACGTACAGGGCGAAAGGGCTACGGTGTATGCTGTGTTGTCATACTGGAGTGGACAATATAACAGGTTTGTTGCGTGAGTTGTGAGGGAAAGAGCTGAAGAGCTGTAGGGTTAAGTATGATGTTTTCTTCTTGCAATTTCTTGCATGTGTTCGCTGCATGTATTTGCACTCTCCGGATCGTGTGGCCTGCTCAATGTCTGGTCAAATAGATCGACCTTGAGTTTTTTGTCGACACATTCAGAGCTTGGCCGATCTATTCGGCCTCCGAGCACATGAGTTCGACGATCGGCCGCCTTTTTCAGGGCAAGTGACATGGCTGGATCGGCCACATCGACACGTCGGATTTGGAGTTGATCATGGTTCATAGCTCATGTTACACAGGACATATATGGACTGTATATATATAGATGGACACAGTGAGGGTATTTTTCTATGTGAGGGATATAATTACTGGTGTTCTTGGACCAGCAGTAGACATTCATAGCCCAATGTGAATCTGGAAGCTCCACACCAGGTTCCGAAAAGCCCAAAAGCCGTTCGGGTGACAAGGAGAAGTTGGAACATGCGACCCGACCCCTATGAGGGCTTGCCCTACGGTGACCAGAGAAGTCTCAGAGAAGAAAACTGCCGAAACGGCTTTGATTCGGGAATCCTCTTGCGTAATCCATGCGAGTTCTGTTGACACCCAGATGAGTATATATAATTAATCATGATGAAGAAAGTGCCCTGCTCACCTAATAGCGATAGCCTCCAACCTAAGAGCGATGGCCTCCAACCTACTAGCGATCAGAGAAATCTCATGAGTGCTTTCTTCAAAGGTTGCCGATCAACATATCTCATGCATGGCTCTGCGCTCTTGCGCGTCAGACTTCTGGCTTGCTTCGAACTCGTCTCTCGCGAACGTGCACTCAGTCTTCGCAGAATCCATGAACGAGACGTCCTTTTTCACGCCCACGTGCTGGACGACATGGTGAGAGGTCGCTGACTCAAACACCGGACCGAAAACAGAATGGTGAGGGACGATTCAGGGACGATGCGAAAGCAAGCCGCTGAGGACAGCTCGAAGATTGGAGAAAGGCCGCTGATGACATATGAAGAAAGTTTTGCCATGTGGGATGACAGCATTTGTCAAGTCGGGGATGATAGGTCCATATGCTCCCAGCTGGAAAAGATACGGTTGGATCTTTGGGGGCCCGGAGCATCGCACCAGGTTGTAGGATTGTGGCATGCTGTGGCACTCCATATCTTCAGCGAACGCCCCAAGGAATGACCTGTATTGGGTTATTGGGTTATTGTGTTTTCCGATGCATTCCTTTGACCTACCTGTGCCATGGTCCAAAAATAGGATCGATCGGATCGTGGCCACTCCAACCCCCCATGAAACACGAGCGTATATGCAGCAGATGCAAAACTGGGACGCGCCCGGTGGACAGGTTGGTGGGATCTTTTGACCTGGTGGACAGTACTTTTGACCTCACATGGCGTAACCTTGCGGTCCTCAAATGCAATAAGCTGGCATCCATTTTTCCGGCCCAGTCCAACCGCACGACCTTCAGGTTGATCTCTAAGGTTTCCACATTGAAACTTCAGAAATCAGGTTTAAATCATCACAGCTGAGCTCGCTACTATTTTTCCGACTTCGGTCCAGGAGATAGTTCGAGACTAGGAGATGCAAACGAAGGAAGCTCCGAAGGGAACCTTTCATTTGTGAAAGGACCATCAATGATGGCCGCCAACTTCGAGCTCCTGAATGTTTCGTTTGACCCTTACAGAAGGGATCACAGGGGATCGTGTTTTTCCGTACAGTCTATACGAATGCTCTGCCGCAAAAGCAAAAAAGCTCGGCCGCAGTGACGTCCTGGTGTGGGAGGGCATTCGTAGCCGACCCTTCGAGACCTGATGGAGGGCTGGAATTTTGAAGACGCTTTCTCCAGGGGGCCAGAGAGGTGCATGACGGTGGTGCTTCTAGGTCTGTCACCAGTTCATCAGGGAGACTTCATCATTTCGGGTCTATTTTTCTTCAACCTCTCCCAGACACCGACGAATGAGACTGCGCCCCACCAAACACCACTAAACACCACCAGTCATAAGGCGGCCATATTGGCAGTCCCATTCGTCGGTCGCGTTTGGGTCTGAAGATCCGGATCCACCAGTCCAGACTCATCGCCAGACGGTCGCGTTTCAGCCGGGTGGAGTCAGGGACACCATGATGCATGTCAAGCCGGTCCAATGCATTCGGAAGTCCTGCAAGGATCTGGGGCACATATAGTCATTCCAAATTAGCCACTCTTGTTCAATTGGTTCCATTATGGTTGCACTTTGACATCATCCAGGAATCCAAAAATGCACAGTGAAGCCAGACCCCCTCTATACCCCCCACTCCATACCCCCCACTTCCCCACGCCACTCCGCACCGCACTGGGCACTAAGGACGCCGTGGTGGAGGAGCGCTCGCTGGAGGAGCTTTGCGGCTACCCGTTGTGTGGCCATCGCACCACGGCGCTCCCTGCAGAGAAGCGCTGGGCCGTGAACTACGCTACACGCGAGGCGCCACCCCGGGCGGTGGTGGGCGGGAGGAGAAAAGCGAGGCAGTGTGGCGCGTCTCACGAAACCACAGCATGGAATTACAGGGTCGTGGGATGGGATTGCGATCCCGGTTACGGGGTTCTTGAAGGTACACTTCTTGAAGGTGCACGTAACAGTTATATCATGTTATACCCACAGATACCAAACAGGCCATTGACACAGGCGCAGCATGGCACAGCTCCCAACAGTTCGTCCAGCTTTGAGGACCTCCTAAGACCACCTAAGACAAACCCCCCACCCCCCCCCGACCCGTCGGTTTCTGAGCTCCCAAACCTCCCAGGTGATGGATGCCGAGGAGGTGAAGAAGTTCTGTGGCCCCTCCTGTCGACGCGAAAGTCAACGCCTGGAGCACCCAGAAGCGTCCAACACCGCGTCTTCTTCGGATGGGACAAGGAGACCAGGGTAGTGAGCATGGTAGCCATGGTGGTGTTGGTGGAAAGACCTTTGTTTGTTTCTGCTGAGTTGTGTGAGTTTGGTTCCTTTGGAAGAAATGACCAAACGCGCAAATAAACAGAAGTGTCAAGAAACACATTCCGCCTCACTGTTGCCCGCGTTCTTGGCGTACTGGACCCTGAACCCCTCCTTTTGTCATCCGATCATTTGACACATATCTCCACCCCAAGACGACCCTTCTTCCGTTCCAAAAGGGATAGAGTTTGTAATAGAGCTTGGATAGAGTATGAAAGAGTTGTAGGATTCCACGCCCCCACCTACCATGCAAGAATAACTTACTTATTGAACATGTCAAACTATTTCAATCATCGGGGATGAACAGTTTCAATCTATATGTCCAAACATGTCAAACTATTCATCTAGATTGAAACTTGTTAAATAGTTTTAATTCATCTATATTCAGCAACTATTCAATCTAGATGTCAAACTATTCCAATGGAACGTTTTTGAATCGGATGGGTCGATCTTTCTCCAGTCCGCCACGCTGGACCTCCGAGGCTTCCGCGCCTCGCTGCAGCCGGAGCCCATCTACCTGCGCCCGGCCAGCGCCCTGACCGCGGCGCAGACCGCCACGGCGACTGCGGAGCAGACGGCGACGGCGCAGAAGGCCGAAGACAGCAGGACTGAGGGTGCTTTGATGGGGAGATGTGAAACGATTTGAGAAGCTGGAAATTCAGTTTTTCTTTTTTTTAGGTGCTTTCTGGGATGGGAAGACGGTTTCGATCGCGAATAAAGGAAACTGTTGTCATCCGTTCCTGATGCGAAAGTCTGCTTTGTGGCAAACTTCACATGTGACATTTGGTGCCTCTCCACTCCAGTGAGTTGGGCTGCTGGTGGAGTAGCGTCCATCCTGTTTCAGTCCGGCTCTTTGATCGCTTAAAGTGATAGAGACAGTTCTCACCGAACACAACTCTCTCGTCTACAGATAGCGTCAGCCATCCCCAAGACGGATCGTCATGTAACATCTCTCCTGTATTTCCAACATCACAGGATGTCCAATCCCCGAACTTGACACTGCTTGATTCAGCCAGGAGAGACGAGAAGGAAGCGAAGGACAAGGACTGCAGGATTCCAACAGAAAACATCGAAGAGCAGAGACTTTTAAACTGCATTGCATACTTCACCGTAGGTCCAGCGTAAGTCGCTGACAGCCTTCTTGAATGTATTGGAGAGTTGAAACCCGTCAAGCATAGGATGATATGAGGAGTGGCAATTATACTGGATTTCAGCATGACTAGTAAACAGATGGGTGCCCAACCAATAAAGTCATGCAGTACATCGGTAGTGTGAGTTCGTTCACACACCTGACACTGCTCACCATGTAGTTGTTTTTCTCATGTGTGCTACTGCAAAGTGATTGGTTTTGTGTTCCCACTCTTGGGGGGTGTTTCCAAGGTATTGAGGGCTGGCGATCACACCCGAGGCCTAGTGACAGCCGCGAGGGTATCCATACGACTTGGCCCGAGGCTGGCCCTGTTTTTTGGTTCCAGACATCATCTACTGCATGGTCCATCATTTGATACACTTTTCATGGTCTTCTCTGGGGCAATAAATCGGTGATGAGTCCTGAAGAGCCTCATTGGATGTTTGTCACAGCCGGAAAATAGGACCCTTCCATGGAGTGATTCTCCTCTACAGCAGAAGGGTCTTATTTGCAGGTGTTGCATGTTTTTCACCCGCATAACTTTTTCCCCGTTCCACCAAAACTGGTCAGGCCATGCAAATTGTTTCTGCATGAGTCGCCATTTCGTGTGGGGCCCAAAATGCTTCATGATGAGTGGGTTGTGAAATACTTACTGTATTAGGAATAACGGGGGATAGTGAATGCCATGGGCTCACAGCCAAAGTGGGACATGCCTAGCCTTTTAAGGTGTAATGCAGGTGTATGTGTATAGGAGAGGTTTGCTGATTGATTCACTAGTGCACCCTCCGACGTTCGACTAGGATGCTAACGAGAAAACTGGACTCCCTTCTTGCCAAACAAAGTCAGACGAATCATGAGCAGAACTGAACGGAAGAAATGCGTAGGATTGTTCAGAATTGAAGGCTACTAGTAACAAGTGCATCGCTTCTAGTAACAAGTGCCTTACTAGTAGTAACAAGAAGCGAACGTAGAAACAATAGATTATTCTGTTAAACAACTGAACTGAAGGGAAGAAATGCGAAGAAATGCGTAACATGGACAGATTCACCTTCCCCGTCTCTGGTCCTCTTCGGCCGCAGGACATCCCAGCCGTGCGGCCGCGCACGGTCGTGCGCTTTTCGCGGGAGAAACGCTCCTATCAGGTGCACTACAGCGAGTACGCCCCTCGCACCGTGCACCGGGCGTGGAGGAAGATCAAACGAATTCGTGGGGAACGAAGGTGGAAGGATGCAAAGAGCTTTTGGAAAAGATATGACAAGAGGTTTGATGTGTCATTCTGGTGTCTACCCCAGTTTGTGTCTCATCAAGAAAGTGTTGTAAAATCTCAAGAACGAATCCCATGATGGTCCAACCCCTAAAATCCAGATTTGCAACAAGATCAACAAGTATCCAGTTGCAACGCTGTATCAAAGCTCTTCACAAAGCTCTTCACCTCCGAGGACGGCGGCGGCGCGCTGCCCGACGTCGCGCCGCGCCGGGACGCGCCAAGAGCCCCGATGGGGCGAAGTGGCTGCGTGGCCGTGCGCGAGCGGACGAGCCAGGAGGTCGTGGAGATCTCTCGGTCGGTTGAGAGACAACGGAGGGGCGTGTCTTTCTTTTGTGTGTTGAGAGAGAGAGAGAGAATGTTGGACATTTGGATGCACTTTGAGTTGGAGATTTGTTGAACGGGGTGTGTACTTGAAGATTGGATAAACACCTGCTTTCACACCTCATTGTGTTTAAATGACATGTCGGGTTTGCAGAAGTTGGAAACGTCTGAGACGTGTATGTAGTGTGAGACACCATGGGCACCTGGCCTGTCTTTAATACCTTACTCCAGGTGGAAGAGCCAACGGATGCTCCTCGTCAACCAGAACCAGTGGAGGAGGCGGAAGCCGGGCGAAGCTGAGGGCTGTTGGCCGGAATATGCTGGACACTCCATGTCTTAAAATACATGCCTGCATTGATCCCTGAAACTCCAGTCATCGTGGAGTAGATTATGAGTAAGCCGCAGTAAGCCACTAAAGAGGGACATTGCTATTTCGGGCATGTTTCATTCTACTTGCTCCGAGATGGTTCGAATGCAATGAGGCGGCGTAAGAACGTGTTTGTTGATACTTCTACTGTTCTGCAACATCACAAGAAAGCTCGAGATAATCTCCCGCTGGATTGGATGCACACAAATCTCCAAAGAGCAAGGTGCAGGGACCTGCAAGGCTGGGATATGATTTCCCTCTAAACAATCCGCTTTGATCCGCTAAATGCAAGTGACCTTTCTCCAAGTGACTCTTTGATAGTGCAAACATGTGCAAACCTTCAAAGTCTGCTTTGCAATATTTGAAAAAGAGAAACACGTCAGCAGCCTTTGAGCCCCAAGCAGACGTGGCCTTTCAAAGTTGGATTCCCCACGTTTTCTGTCCCAAGCAGCCGCAGCTCAGTTTGTTTTCTCCACAGGATGAGGCCTTGAGTGACAGCGTTGCTTGGCGTTGGGTCTTCTTGGGCGATGGATATGAAACGCGTCGTTGATTTTGCAACCCGTCACATGTGGTTGACATTCTGTAAAAGATTGCCATGTAAAAGTTGGTGTTCGTTAAGCGTCTGGTTGACATCCTGTACACCAGAGTAGACCACATGACCTCTGCGTAATTATACAACTTCAAGATGGCCGTATCTCACAAGGGGGGATTGTGCTCGTGTTTGCTCGTGCAAACCCAAACTTGCCATTGGTGGGGAAATCCAGTTTAGAGCATGCCATCGCTTCTAGGTTGGAGGCCATCGATAGCAAGTTGCAGACCGTCGCTAGTAGGTGCCCCTGGCACAATCTGAAGAGGTGCGTGTGAGCATCTCCAGGGTCTGGCGAACACTCAGCATCTCCGTGTTTGGTTCCACGTACCATGAATGAGGCGCAGTAGCCGTTTTAGAGGACGAAGCGATGAATGGAGCACGGCCAGTCCCTGACCTTCCAGTCTAAAACACCACGGTGGGTCTCATCCCACGACACAATGAATTACGTTGAAAGATGCCAGTCACTAGTTTCTGTTGTTGGTGGTGTGGTGGTGGTGGCGATGGTGGTGGAGTGGTGGTTGCTAGTGCATACATATGCTAAATATAGACAGGTTCATTAGGACCATGTTTCGCGGCCGTGAAAGATCCGTGAAAGATGCTATTCTTTCGGGATGAAAGGCCGTTCTATCATGAAAGAATATAAAACTCTAACTCCAACTGCACCAACCAAAGTATACAAATCAACCATCAGGAACAAGAAGCAACTAGTGGCTCCTGGCATCGCTACTAGGAGCAAGGACGCCACTAGCGGCTCCTGGCCGTACTACTAGGAGCAAAAAGTTACAAGGAACAAGAAAAATCAACCCATGGGTTTCTTGAGTTTGCTTGCTTTACTGTCGCAAACCTGGGCGCCTCAGGAGGGCGATGACCTCTACGACCCCGAGGCGGAAGTCCGCACGCCATTGCGCCGCGCGCTGTGGTTGCTCGCTGCGGGGAGCAGGAGGTGTCACTGGAAGAGAGGGACCTTCATTGACCAAAAACCTGTTTGAAATCTGCTTGTGAGCAGCTGTAGCCCTTAAGAACCGGCTGCCCCGGTGCGTGCCCCCATGCATGCTTGGTAGCTGTGCTTGTAGCTATCCAGCATAGGTGTGTGGGCAGAGGATCATGAGCAGCAGAATCAGTCCGTTGATATGGAGAAAATAATTACGTATACAATATTGTTTAATCCGGAATGCTGCATGAGCTGCTTGGGTGTTGTGGCATGTTCAATTGTTTGGTTCACAAGAGATCGTTGGATTCCTTTCATGGATATATTTATTCTGTGTTGTTTGGCCATAACTTTCTGGCACCAGATTCGGATTTCTGAAGAAGACGAGAGTGTCCAAGGGTACCATATAAGATACTTAGTCTTTGGTCGGGCGTACTCAGCAGCTTGAGAACCCGAGGGAACCAGCGAGAATCTACAACCCACCTTTCAAAACTGCGGTTATTTGTCAATCGAACAAAATCCAGTTCAGCGAATGTCTCAGAAAAAAAAGCTTTGGGAAAGCAACTCCGAAATAAGCAAACTCAGTCCGCTAATCTATGAACCTAAGTCCTCTTCATCCCATCGTCCGCTGAGTCCTCTCAGGTGGTCCCCGATGGCAAGTCAGGGACGCTCAGAGACGCGGACCGCGGGTCTCCGCGGCGGAGCGCGAGGCGATGGGTTTGTTTTGGGAGTGCAAAGACCACGGGTTTTACCATGTTTTACATACAATTACATACCAGCAGTCACAAGACAGGGTGCCGAACGAACGGAGGAAGTCGGGATGCCCGTGATCCACATCCACTCACTGGATGGGACGAGCCACACCACCCAACTCCATGTGACTCCTGGTATTACTATATGTTTCTCCAAGGATTTGTCCAGATTTGGTATTGATGCAGTCCTAGAGTTCTTCGCGGTCATGTTGGATGGTTCCTGCAGATCTGGAGTTCTCATGGTGGTTGAGGCAGGCCTGAAACGGTCTGGCTTCTTTTCTAGACACCTAGTCAGTTCTCAAACTGACCATTGAACAGTCCATAACATGCAGTTGGTCCATGAACAACCTATATCACTATATCAGTTAATAAACAAAACTAATCAAACTAGTTGTCATGTTCCACAATTAAGTCCGTTTGTCCACGCAGTTTCCATAACAAACTGTTTGTGTTCCCACCACCCATGCAGACGCATCGTGCCTTGGCCTGGCGGCCTTGCGGCCGACCACGTGGATCACGGTCAGTGCCGGTCAAAAGCTGTGACCTTTAAATATACCCAAGACACCCGGGTATGTACAAGCATCGTCATGTTTGGCCCCGTTTTGCACCGGTTCGCGTTTTTTGTGTCTTTTTGGGGAGAAAAATCACTGTTGGTCATTGCCCCCATTCTATCCAAAATCCAAAAAGTGCAGCACTACAGAAATCTCCCCCACATGCCCCAAGAACTATGTTTTCAAAAGAAAAACAAAGGAATTTGTAGGTATGGTGAGCATGCACAATGCACAGGTCAGCAGAGTCAGTATGTGGTTTGCTACGCGAAAGTAGGGCAAAGGGTATGATATTGATAGACTCACGCGCGTAAAACTTGCACTTGGTTCTGTTCTTGGCTGAAACGTCACACCACATGAGCTTGTCCTTGAGCGTGACTGCTTGGGCACAGGTAGATGAGACAAAGCAGTGAAGGACTGAGAGCAGTGAAGGATCTAGTGTGGTAGATGCTACTGCTCAGCTAGTCCCTGGCATTCGAACTTCTACCATCTTCTACCTCTTCAGGTGACGTAGTCATGATGTTGAACGATGTGTCCCGCTCCAGCCGGACCACTGGTCGATCTCGCATCGACGTGCCGCTCCACCGTCACGCTCCGCGGAGCGCTGCCGCGTTCGTCGACCTGAGGTGTTCCACTCCTTGGATCCAAGCCTGGGCGGTGCGCGGGGGCGGCGCCTTTTTCGGCCTCCGCGTTCCGGTGACGCGTTCCGGGTGAGACGAGCAACTGTGTTATGGGGAGAGGTGGCATCAGTGTTTTTTTGTACAGGAGGGAAAAGCCACGAGCAAGAGCACTTTGGGAAAATCAATGCAATACCGTCATGTGTTTCCTCTCTTCCAATGTGATCCCTTCTCTCGCTCAACGACTCCAGAGTCGCCTTCCCAGTCTGCCCACTTGAGTCGTTGCCCACACGAGCAACCGGGGAAGATATGCTTCATGACCACGGTTTTCCAAAGCTGTGTCGTACCTCAGGCTTTAGATGACTTGGCAAGGTGGTGATTTGTCAGCAAATTGCCAGGGCCCACAAGTTGAGTCATGGTGTTTGCATGTTGCGTGGTTCTATCGCAAATACACTCCTGTTTGTCATCAATGGAACATGACCCTGGAATGTCTAGGAGATTGGTCTCATGCCCAGCTTCAGTGCTTTTGATGTTCGACACAACACCTGTTGCTGGCCTTCGCCCCGAACACCTTTCGCGATGAGCGAGCTGGCGCAGACCCTGAACACCTGGATCACAGAGACTGCCAAGGAGGTCTTGCGAGGTGAAACCGCGATGGGTTGTGACGTGACGGGTTGGTACGGAGATAAAGATGAGCCAAGGTCAGACTAGGGAGATCCTTTTTCAACAGAGGAGATGTCAAGCAAGGGCTGAACTAAAGTCAACCAGTCAAGGTCCTAACATGTAAGATTACTTTGTGAGTTTCTTGAGTGGAAATCGCCTTGCATGGAGTCGCAGTCCCATTTTGATACAAACAAAAGTGCTCAACTCCTTCAGCTTCCATGCCATACAAAAATTAAGTTAAGTGCGCTTAATCCTGGTAAATATCCATAAATGGTCAACAAAATGTGTTCAGCCTTTGTAGGTGCAAATCCCCAGCTCTCTCCCGGACAGCGATCCTTCGCCAGCGTGTGAGCAAACCTGCAGGGGCCCAGCTGGAGTTGGCTGAGGACCGGCGACCAGCACACAAGGCGGGCCACTCGGTCCAGGTGCAAGCGGTTGTATAGCCATGTAGTATGCATTTGTTGGACTATATATTATTGGTTATTATTGATAGTATTTGTTGTAATTACTTATTACGTTTATTCACTAGGGCGCCAACTGCCTTCTGAGGATATGGTTGGAGCCCTAAGGATTATATTGATCTCCACATGGTTCTTTTTGGTGCGTTGGACTTGATGATTGTGTGTGTGTGTATTCTTTTTTTCGTGTTTTAAGTGTGTTCATTCTACTGCGAGTCTACGAGTCTTTGGCCTTGCGACGGTTTTAGTCGTTGCCGACAGGGGATGACGGGACGGGGGATGACGGCGACGTGCTACCATTGGATCGGTCTCCCTGGTGACCCAGAGCCGGACCCAGGGGCCGTTGTACCACCTGAGATACCGAACGCCTGCCAATACTGATTGTGTAGGACATTGTAGGACTGTAGGACCATAGCCAAGTCATATCAAGTCAGCGTTCCCTACAAGGCCCTGCAAACCTCACTTCCCTGGAAAAGACCCTTCACTCCATTTTGCAATTTCGACAGCGCTACCTTTATACTATACCTGTGATTGGCAATTCTTCGAACAGTTGTGTCAACTGCAGTCTCACAGACTCATACATCCTCCGCCAGTAGATGCGACCGCAGGGCCGGCGAGACCTCCTGCTAGAGCTTCTGACATCGCGCTTGCCTGGGGAGCGGCAGTTGCTGCGGGTTTGAAGTGATTCGAAGTTTGGTGGGCAGGACGTAGAAGGGAGAGCTAGAGATGATGCTAGCAGCTGGGCAAAGGAAACACCTGTTTGTATGTCAGCTGTTATTTGAGCTAGAAACACTTGAAACGTCTTGAAACCTAAAACCAGATCAGTGTGGCATGCTTTCCCGATTCCAGCACGGGCTGCGGCTGCAATGGTACTACAACGGAACCACAACGACTGCGTTTGCCGCAAGACCCAACATCACTCCAGGTTTCACTCACATTCTTGGTCCACCTTGTGTTTTTTTGTAGTATCCGGTGCTTCCAAGAGATAAAGATATGAGATATATGTAGATTGTGTGATTCATTCTTTAGGTTCCGTGCTCACCGGCCTTGGTTGGTTCGAGGTCATGTTTCTCTGTTGTATAAGGTGCAACCTGCCTCCACCAAGAGCGCCTCCACAGCTGCTGAAGCAGCAGCGTCCAGGAGTTCTCCTTCCTGGCCAGTCGCTTCTACGAGCTGGTTTGGGGCACCAAGTACGTGTCATGTGTTTTTGCTTAAACTGGGAGCAGCCAACAGCCTTCAAAAGAGCTTCCGATACCAATCAATCTTAGAAGCTCGCAGTGGGTCCACTGGCTACATCACTGTGTCCTGTACAATCTAGACTTGTTCTTTGGATTATATATATATATATATATGCTTGGAAGCTTTGGGCGTATTCCCGAGTGCAATATGCATCTGATGGAAGAACAAGGATTTGACTCTGGTGGGCCCAATGTTGAAGAAGTGCACGAGCGAGAAACTGAAACGGTCTTGATTGATTCCACCCAACTTGGTTGATGCAGCAAGCTGCACTGATCACATGTTCTGTCCCTATAAGCTCTGTTTGTGCGGAGTAGCCTTAGTCCGGCATTGAGAACGGGTCTCACAAGCAAAGCTCGCCAGCAAGACCTTCAACTCACACTGGACGTTCGTGAAACAATGAAGCGGAAAAGCACGTGGTGTGGTACAATATGGTACAATGCTGACAGTGATCAACGTGTGATGCCGAGAAGGAAGCGCAGCAGTGCGGCGATCCACCGACGTTTGATTCGGCGAAGGAAGTTCGATCACATTCTTCCCCAGACACTCCATGCATGCCATATATGCCTACATTAACCCCCAAAACCACCCCAATGTAGGCATATATTCCATACATGGAGTGCCTGGGTTCCGGCTTTTCCATGTTGTTTCTGTTTTGAGGGCAGATGCAGAGAATGGGCTGGAAGCTGCACTCCAGAGCAAGAATGACAAGCACCTGAAGATGATGGAGACCTATGGATTCCTATTGAAAACGGCGTCCGCTGATGAACTCCAACAGCTCCAGGTTGAGCATGCCATGATGTTTGCAGGACTTGCGCATATGAAAGTCGCAGGGGTCGCCAAAGGCGGCACTTTTCACCATGTGTTCACCTAGAATGGAAAAGATGCACTCCTTGCACCGGCTTAATTTGTTGCGTGATGTTATGTGGAGTTGAAGGATGTTATGGAAAGCCGCAGCCGAGAAAAGACCCAGTTTCCGACAAGTTCATGACGGGCAGATGCTTTGACCCCTCGGAGGCCGCTCTTAGGGGGCAGCGTGTGACGAATAAGCCACAAGGATTTTCGCCATGGATGTCTCACATGGACCAACGGGGCGTATGCTAGGCCGGGCTGCCATGATTTCTTCCGAGTTCCGAGTCAAACGAGTTCCGGGCACCATCACCAGCTGGCAATGAACAGTGAGCGCGTTTTATACTCTCAATGATACTCACATGCATTTGGTCCAAGAAGTGAGACTGGAGCCCTCCCCTTCAATATCCTTCAATCATTATTGCAGCTGTGAGGGCGATAAGCTCTAACAACCCCGCCAGATCATCCGGTCTGGTGTGTTGAAGTATGTTCTTCTTTTTGATCTTTTCCTACCTATATTGGTCCATCCTATTCCGCTCCCCACCCTTCCTAAGCCCTAAGCTCCGCTCTCCGCGCTTCCTACTCTGCTGCCCAGGTCTCCAGTTTGGGCGTTCACCAGGCGATCTGCGGAGAAGTTCGCGCGGGGGAAGTGTGGGCGACGGGGAGGATGTGGGGAGGGAAAGACCCTAGCATGTCTTTCTTCCGACCCGTCAACTATAGCCAGTTCGACCGACACTCCAGTCGGTCCCGGTCGTGCCCGGTCGGTTCTGGTGCCACGGTCTCCGTCAGAGGCGATCCGGAAGAAGTCAGAGGGGTCGGTCTCCGTCGTTTCGCTTCGGCCGTGCGAAACGGAAGGCGAAACGCGGTCAACTCCGGGCGGGTGGGGCGAAACGGGTCAAGTCGAAGTGGTGCCAAGCTCAGCTGTCCGACGTTGTGAGGCTTTGCCCTCCATCACCGAGCGCGCGCTCTACGACCTCCTGGCGGCCACTGGGTGGGTGAACAGGGGGTTGGTGGTGACGGAAACGAAGGACATCGAATCTGAAGTCTTGACTCCGTGGAGAAGTATACTGCAGTCTGTGGTTGGAATCTGAAGTTTGTGGCTCAAGAGATTCCATTTGACACGGTGACATGGGTTTGCTCGTCCAAGATCCTGTGGATGGATGGGTTGTAATCGTTTTCTTCGTCCAAAAAAGGACGTGGGCCGGCCAGGTAATTAGAGCAGGCTGTAAGCTTATTTGACCAGCAGTCACAGCGCCTCAACCAGGCGTCACACCAGGCAGTGCTCAGCCAGAAGAACACTGCGCCAAAAGCACCACACAAAAACGTCGGTCGCGTCGCGTCGCCGTCGAGTCGCGTCGCTTCACCGAGGCTGTCTTGCTGCGGGGGCTCTACCTCTCAGATGCCCAACGAGGTGGGGAAGGTCGAGCGCATCGGACTGAGCGAAGCGGACCTCTCTGGGGCTCGGACGTGATCGGCGGTGATCGGGCGTGATCGGGCTAACGAGGCATGTGGACATGGACAGTTTCTTGTTTTTTCTGTGGCCTGGTAGGAAAACACTCTTCCAGGAGTTAGACAACAGACAATGTTCCACTTTTAGGTTGGCTTTTGCTAATTTAGAGGGAAGGCTGAGTCGCTGGCATTGTTGTTCAGAAAGCAGGTGTTTTGTGTTTTTTGCAGGGGTAAGCCTACCATGTACAAGCCATTTTCACCCAGACCAACAATTATCCAAGGAATAGAACATGATAGAACATGGAAGACTTCAAGAAAGACATAGAAAGATTAATTAATAGATCAGACAAGTTATGGCATGTTTATGATCTTTTATGTGTTCCTTTCTTTCTATTGTTTTTTTTGTCCTTTTCCATTAGTTCCTTCTGTCCACGAAGAAATAGATCAAGAATCGATGTGTCCAAACTGTGTCTCTTTTTCCATTGGTGCCACAGACGAGTCCCGAACACGGCCAGCGAACAGCGAAGGCCTCTACGTGCGGGACGAAGTGCAAGTGGAGTTGTTGGAGCAACGGATGAAGGCAAAGCGAGTTTCGTGAGACGGATCAGGGCGTTTGTTTGGTCCCCCGGGTTTCTGTGGCGAAGAAGGCAGCCGGGGAGGCGCTTGTTGGGTGGTTCAGGTGAGCATGCTGTGCTTGTGAAAGCATGGACTCAAGGAGTGCACTGAAGAAAATAGCGTAATTATCAACTTGTATGAACGGGTGTTTAGTATGATTCTACATGAAGCAACTGTGGGTCAACAGACTTTTAGAAAGTCTGTTTGAATGTGTCAAAGGAGATCCAACCTTCTGAATTGTTTGGCATCCACTTATGACCCTACAGGATCAAGAATATCAAGAGCCTTTGTGTGTGCAAATCAAAGAAATTTAATCAATCAAACGATTGTTGTGGCTTTGAATGTTTATGGATTCGATTAAAGGTCTCCTCAAGGTCTCATCCCTCCTCCTCGCTGAAACCTCACCAGGAGGCAGCTCAATGCTACGGCATCGCAGAGGAGGACTGAGTTTAAGCAAGTCCTCTTTTCACAATCCGAGAATGGTTGGAGATGGGATTTCCAAAAAATGCAGCATACCAAGAGCTATTTGATAGCTGAACAATCATCACGTTTGATCAAAGCTCCTAGAAGACACGAGAAAACCATGGCCGTCATCAAGTTGACTAGACCATACTAGACCCAACCAATGGAACATCCGATGGTTCTTTATTCCGGAAACATGCACACACGACCGGCAAGGAGTTGAAGATGATGACTCAGTTGACTGATTTGTACAAAGCACAAGATGATTAGAGTTGGCCACCTGAGGGTTCATGGCTTCTTTGCAGTGAAGAGGTTTGACGAAAGGGAGCCCAGCTACATTGTTCAAGAGCCATCCGGGAGATGACAATTTAGTTGCTTTTCATCAGAACATTCGGAGTGGATTTGTGCGCAGTGCAGGCCTTCCTCCAACCCCCTCAGATTTTGGATGTTCCTTTCCGGGGTTCCCTTTAGGCTGTCGGCTGTTGGATTTACTCACGTGGAGTGGCAGGTGCGGTCCCCCCGAAGATTGGGAATGAAGAGCGATCAATGATAGATGTATATAGATGTTGTTGGTCGCCTCATCGATTTCTCCCATCCAAAGCATGAAGTAGTGATGTGAAAGCTCGCATCGGTGTCTGGTGGGAGGCCGTCATGACTCCCGTGCAAAAGCGTCATGACTCACCGATGAGTCTCAGATCGTAAGCCATGAACCTGCAGAGTCCCGCCATGGCTTAACCTGCCTGAGTCAAGCGTTCGAGCTGACCGCCGCTGGTAGAGCAAAATAGGTGCGCTGACCCGTGTGCTGGCCTGAAGTGATTTCAGATATAGATTTCCAACCTAAGCTTCAGATATCTTTCTAACTGTTTGGCGATACTTCCGAAGAACTCTTTTTGGGTGACCTAGAACCAAATGTCCACCACCGCAGACTTGCATTCTCGAGCCAAGGGTTCTGATTTTGGGAGTAGAATGAATTCCATGGACGACTTCTCTTGGTTGCCATGGTCAATTTACGTTTCAACCCCCAACAGTGCTGTTTAACGTTCCAGGAGGTCGCTGCCGCCATGTTTGCAGTTGAGTTGGCCACGCCGGGCGTTGGTCCACTGAAGGCATTGGTTTGGTGATGCGGACTGGTGTGAAACGTCCCTTTTTGTGCCTCTCGCAAGCTAACTGTGAACTGTCACGTTCTCTTTCTGCGGGGGGGTGTTCTGACTTGAGGGAACCCCACTGGAAACATGGGGCGATATGCGCCAGGAAGCAATCGCCCAAGCAAGGCCAGGGCCAGGAAACAAAAGGGTGATCTCACGAGAAGTGCTCGATGCCACCGATTGAGGTGGTTCCGAGATGTTCCAAGGATCAGGTGCCAACGCAGCTGCAAAAGGCCAAAGGTGACAACAGCATCGCTGACCCAAAGGGAATGACCTTGCAAACGCATGGAGTCAACATGAACAAATGTTTGAGATCAGAGTTTCTTGAGAGTTTCACTTTCACTCGAATTTCCTGATGCAAAAAATGGGTGACATCAGTATGCACTACCTGAAATGTTGGTGCTACAACACCTCACTTGCCAATCTTCCGGCAAAATCATGTCACCCAAGCATCTTATGTTTCTTTGACCAAACATCTCCTGCAATCAGTGCCTTTGAGCGAACCTTGATCAAACGATGCTGAGAAGATTGGCGCCAGGCGCTTGGGGATTCAGCGGTTCAAGCAACCAGAGGGGTTTGAACGGGGTTGAGCCATTTGGTTTGGCAGTAGGACGGGGGCCTTTTGTGGCGGGCCAAAAACGGAGGTACCCTCAGTGTTGAGAGTCCTTGTTTCATTTTGATTGCATAATGTGTGGGGAGCTCTTTTGGGCGGAAAAGAAACGGAGGTAGCGCTACCATGCCCACCAGTATTTCTTGCCAACTTTTCTGGGACACAACCAGGCACCTCCACTTACCTTCCTCCACACCTTGAGGCTGTGATTCTATAAGATACCTGTGCACCGCTGACAACGGCTACAACAAGTCAAAAAAGTGTGTCAAAACATGATCAAAAGAAAACCATGTACTGTAACCTTTCAAATTTGTGGGGCATGGAGCTAAAATGAAGCCGGGGTTCCTTTTTTGCCACGCCTTTGAAGTGTTTGGCACATGATGGCCTTTCTCAAATACCAGGAATGAGGACTTGCTCTGACTGAAGCATGAAAGCCAACCAGCGGTCGCTGCTAGTCGCTGCTGCGCTCAAAAACTGACATGGCCCAGCAACTGTGTGGTAGTGGATGCCACAAAAGATTGAACGTGATGCAGGCTTTACGGCAGCAAGTCATCAATTGCTTTACGTCCATTTCTGGGTTTCATGTTGGCATCGTGGCGGTGGCAATCTCAGGGCAATCCCATGAGCCCCACAAACTCGGTCACCAGTCACTCGGTCGGGCCAGGCATTGCCCGCACGTGGGCACCTTCAACAGGACCATGGGAAGAGTGGCGATCACGGTCACTTCTCAGTTGTGTTGGGCTGTTTCATTGTGCTTCACTACAAAAAAGGTAGAACTTGCAATTTGGGGGTGCATCTTCCTGTTGGATTAGCTCTCTTGAAACTGTTTGGTGTTGGACATCCGTCGGGGAGGAGGGTCCTTTGTATGCATCCTGAACGCCTGACCCCAGATGCACCTCATCACGCGATATCTTTTGGCCCAGGCGGTATCATCCGCACAAAGCAAACGGTCAACACCTTTTCAGAGGACCCCTTTCCGTTGGGACCCCGTTGACCATCAACAGTCGACCCAGTTCCTCCGGATCCTGTTGGGAGGCTTCTCCCGTCCGGGCCTTGCTGGTGTGCAATTCTTGGCACGTTGGCATCGTTCAGGTGGGTCGCTAGTCGGTGGGCTTTGCAGGTGAAGGCTTTGGGGTTCTGCTGCCCAAACATAGTTTAGGTGTTTGCGCGAGGCTATCATGCAGATCACAGGGGAAGCTTCCTGGAGCAGATCACTGGCTGAACATGTCGGGAATCCAACTTTGGACCTTCAACTTCAACTGATTCCCTTTGATCCCAAGAATCCCAGAAACAGGTAATCCATCAAACTTGGCCCTCCAAGATGGTAATCAAAGATCCAGGACATCATTTGTGTCATGTCTAGAGGTCCTGATGCAATTTTGGAAAGATTCTGGGTCATCCCCTATCTTGAGATTCTTCCAAATGCTGGGCAATGCGTGAGTCATATGACAAAGCAACCATTCAGCAACGTGGACACTTTTGCCTCACAGATCCTGGATAGAGTGTGCAGACATTAAAACGGTTGTAACCTGTGGTGACATTCATGAAAATGTTAGATCTCCACATCTTCTCTCTACTCTACTACTCTACTTATGGATGACCATGCTGTGTGGACACCCTGTGAGCACCTGCCCAGATAGGCGCTGGCAAGCTTGAACAAAAGAGCACTGACCAAACAACCTACACATCCCCTTTCGGGTACTCCAGCCGCAGCCAGCTGCTTATATAAATTGGCACAGCCCGACCCTAACCAACACCTCCGTGGCTCAAGCTGTGCCAGTTGCGGACGAGAACGCCGAGAAGATCAGCCGCTGGAGAGCAATCAAGGGGTTTGGGGAGGGTGACGTCTGACGCTGTTTTGTCATTGTTTTACAGTGGCAGATCCATTTGGAAAGACCTGTTCATTTGGCAAAGGCTGTTCCAAATCTGTCGAAGCAGATGGAGAGATTTGCGAGTTCCTGAGGCTTTCACTTCAAGCAACGGGACGGCTCTCGAAAGACTGCTGGAGGCTCAGCTTTGCCGTTAAAGGATGCAATTGGATCCCTGACAAGAGGGACCGCAGCCCCTAGAAATGTGGTCTTTGTTCTTGAGAATCAGGCTCCAACCATGAGCACCACCATTTGCTTGTATCTCGTGTGTGTGTGTACATGACCTACACCCTCAATATCAAACATAATATCATATACACAATCTGAAGATCCACAGAATGCCTATATGCCGATTGACTGTGTTTGGGATTGGCGTGGATCCTGAAACTCCACGGAGCCCCCCCCCCCGGAGGGCTGGCTGCAAAGGTCACAGTGCCTTCGGGGACAACGGTGCTGGAAGCGGCGCATCTAAACCAGGTTGGGATGGGCTTGGATTCGTCGGAGTCGTTCACCATGTTTGGTGGGCAAACCTTGCCCATGTTTACCCCTTCGGAACGTTGATGTATAGAGTCAGAGGCTTGGGATAGCGGGATGCAGGGTGCCTTTCCACTGTAGTCAATTGATTTGCCCTGACACGGGTGCAGAATGATGTATGCCAAGCGAGAGCTAGTAGGAAGCTGGAATCTACTCAGAACCAACCTACTTGGCACAGGGAAAACATGTTTTCCACTCGTGAACAGCATGCAATGGTAGAGCTAGCGCGCCACACCCTGAAAGACCTTGATGTTCTCCAAACGTCCGTCTCCAGCGAACCGCCGACAGGTGGATCTGGAGGGCGCTTGTGAAGCGTCCTTGGCATGCTCGACTTGCCACGTGATTTTGACCGCAGCCTGGTGGCCCGGTTTGGTGCGTTTTGCCATGTTTTGCTAGTGCTGCTATTGCTTATGTTACTGTCTACTCCAATAAGAGGTAGAATTCCCGATCTTGAAGGGGAGGTTCTATATATTTTGCGGGATCATTTTGGGTCACAATGAACTGCATCATGGTTAGTAGAGTAGGTGGTAGGCACTTCACTTGCATTGGAAGAAATGGGCTTTGGATCTTGAACCATCTCGCATGGGAGACCGCCCAAATGAGAGATCCAACAAGATGTGTTCTTCGCAGAAAATCAAGGCCTGGTGAAGGACAACGGCGTAATTCCGTAAGGCGGCCGGTGCGCCCGTCCCTGGAACCACATCCCTCATCTCCGAAGTTGATTGTGCTGGATCCCCGAGATTGTTGATTGTACCCGCAAAACCGCACCACTGCCTCAAAATTCAATATCCACAGGATGTTAGGAATATAGGAACCAAAGAAATCCAAGCGAACAGCCTGAGAAGCAAGAGATGCCAAGAGTTTGCTTCAGGATATTTATCGGCGTGTCTAATTGGGAGTGTTGGAGAGTTTCCAAGAGTGTGCTCTTCTGCAAACCTTCGCTATCGGTTACTTCTTGGAAGGGTGACCTCTTCCCAAGACCAGAAATGATAAGAGGGAATTGTTGTTTTCTCCTCCACTGGCTCCAGGACGACTACAAGAAGTATGGGGAGCCCACGGAGAAGGAAGAGGACGTCGCTTGCTTTTTCTTCCTGCATGTCTCAACGAGTCTCAACGTCGACTGACTTGAAGGACGGAAATGCATAGAGATCAAAATCACTTTGACTTGGGACAATGGATCAAAAAATAAGGTGTTTCCTTTTGGCTGAATGAATGAAGAGCTGGGTAATATGAGTAAGATGAGTAAGGTTGTTTCACCCCGAAAGCGGGAAAGGAATGGGTTGGCTGACCTCGTCTCTACGGTGTTCATCGAAGCCGGAGCTGCAGCCATGGGAGCCATGATCTTCAGGAAGATCGAAGCAGCCACACCCGAGAACACGAACACTATACATGGTTTCAACGGAAACATACCCACACAAAGCCCAAGTGCTTTTATACCACACAGGATCTTGGTGTTCGGTGCACCTACTCACTGGGATGGGATGGGATGGGCATATATAAACTTCTTTGGATTTTTCTCGCTGGGCTGGCTCGGACGAAAGTACTGCGACATGCTTTGTGAGCAGGATTTGCTGGACCTGGCCCCCTGCTTGACGCCGACTTCACGCTTGGCGTGCCAGGTGGGTCATCGAGGGTGGATGGGAACCGTTTTTGGGGACGTTTTCCGGTGCAAGTGTTGCGACATCTCTTACGGTTACTCTTGACAGGATGGTGGATGATTTTGCACTGCCGCAGTCTGTGCTTTCCCTTTTCAAAGGATTAATTTCTTTGCTTTGAGGTCTCTTGATGCTATGATGTTTGATCTTTTTGTGCAACCGGTGTGGCAGATCTAAGTTGGGCAGCCAATGCTCTAGCAAGTCTGGCACTCAACAATGACCTCCCCTTCTGAATCTTTGGGTCAGCAAACCCCGAGAGTGTAGAGGGCCCATGTGCCAGCACCCTTCCGCTTCCATTGAAATCCTGTTTGTGCCAGGATGCCCTTCTCCGGTGTAGCCCAATGGATTGGGCGTGTTTATGTCACATTCATTGAGCTTACAATTTTCACACACACACACACCCTATAGACCATCTTACAGCGATTTGATGGGCTCATGTTTGCCTTGCTTCTAGGGTCTCCTAAGAATGTCACACGTTCGGATTGAATGCGAAACGGCCCTAAGAGCCCTGCGAAAACATATTCTCAGCAGTTTCTCTAGCATGGTGCCATCACATTTCTCCTGCAGCAATCGCTATATTCAGCAATTTTTTTTGAGTGCTGCAAGATTCCTTGTCAGGTGGTCGTCGACGAACGGCTGAAGGACCAGGAGGTCTCATTACCTGCGATGACCTTGAACTTCTACGTGCAAAGCCCAGACAGCCCGTGCTTCGACTCCTTTTCTGGATATGATTCGATGTGACCTTCTTGTCGCCATGTATAATAGATAGAATGTAGACTTCTACTAGACTAGCAATGCGCTCAGAGTCGCTCTTGTCCAGTTCACCAAGTGCTCCCTTTTCAAGAGAAGAGCCCTGCCACCTTGGCAGCGGTTTGCTCAGGTGGATGGGCATGTGCCAACTCCCCACTGAGCGTGCCTGGACGCGGGCAGTGCTGAGGATACGGTAGATGTTGATGGAAGCTGCGAGGTTGAAAGACAACACATGGATTTTCCCCAAGTGAAATTGAGATGAACTCCATCCTATCAAGCTAACAGAAAATGTTCAAGAAAACGCTTTCCTGCTAGCTACACACTTGTGGAGACATCACAAACCAGCAAATCAGCATCCAGCAGGATCTCCACAGAACTATTTAATACTTTGCAGTGGGATCTCCAACTCCCTGGGTGGTGAACAGCAGTTTGGAGCATGTCTCTTGGTGTTGGCCCAGAGAGACTCTTTGCGGCATGTGTTGGCCACTGACAGACTCCTTGAGAGTTGGATGCCACCTGCAGCGCGAGAGCTTGGCACGAAAGGACGTGCTTAAACCCTACCGCCTTGAGCGAAGAAGAAGCTGTGCGAGTTGGTGAGGATGACTTTCGTCTTCAGCCAGGCAAAGGAGTGAATGACTATCCTAAACTAGGGCATTTGTTCCTGGTCATTCTATCAGAACAGCAAGTGATGAACCGGGTGCACAAAATCGCGTACATGTACGACAGTTTGCGATCTGTTCCACAAGTGAACAGAGGGACCTACAAATGGAGCTCCCTCCCCATACTCTGAAGTATGTACAGAAACCAGAATCCACTTGCTGGATGCGACCTGGTGAAGACAGATCCAAGTTGGACGAAAGAACATCGTTTTGCAGAGTCTCGGGCTCAAACCGGGCCGCTCCCGTCAGTCCTCTCCGACCAGTTCGACCAGTCGGCGCGGACGGCGCGGCCTCGTGGCGACGCTTCAGCAGGTCACCGACCAGTCGTACAGGGCGCGGCCTCGTGGCCTGGCGTGAGAACTGAGATCTAGTGAGAGTGTTGGGATGGTTATAGTGATTGGGATTGAGATGTTACATCTATATATAGATTATTGTAGTATAGGAATGCTGTTGGAAGACGGAATTTTGTTGGAGGTGGTTTAGATTCGGCTTGAGAAGCCCGCTTGGCTATTCAAGAACCCTTTAAGAGATGGTCAACCTTGAATGAACAGCTCTGGCCTGCCACTTTTTTCAGCATGAAATTTGAAATGTCAAGACCTTTTGCGCTCTTTGGCACAGGCCCCAATCCACAACTAGTAGCTTAGCAGCCCGGTGAGAGAATTTCAAGCAGCTGCCAGGTTTGTGGGCATTATGTTGGCGATCGGACTGCTCCTGAGCTTGCAAGCAAGTTATGGACAGATGTCATTGCAACGATCAGGTCCCAAATTGAATCGGTTTAGTCTGTTTGGCGTTCAGTACGATGGGTGATGTGGACAAGAGCTGGCACTGCCTTTCCTCCAAGTATCACCCTGATCGCTCTTTCTGCGTGGTCGTCTCATGAGGTCTACAAGTGGATTGCTTCTAAGGTGGTTTTGTAACCAAAGTTCCCTCATGATCCCAAGTATTGGACAAACCGAGACCATGTCTTCAGCATGGAATTCTTCTTTTGGACCTAATCATTCCAGAGGGTGCTCGACACTTTTGTTGCTTTCCAAAGAGCCATTTTATGACGAGAAATACGAGCGATGCGTCCCGAAGAACGCATTCCGAGCAGTAAAAAAGGATGAAAAAACACCGACAGTTTTTCGTTGAGACCTTTTTCTCAACCATCTCCGACCACGCTGAGTCCGGGATGATGAAGTGGAAGGATGGAGATCAGCATCCATGGGGTCGGGGAGACCCAGCCGCCCACGAGTTCAGGCGATCTCGTTTTAAAAACCTCAGCATCTCCTAAGCCTAAGCACTTCTGCAGGTGTCCGTCTATGGAAAACACCATGGAACACCCCCAAAGGGTTTGTCCAAAGGGGTTGGGTGGTCTTCCGTTCTTGTTGGATTCTTGAGGAGTCACGACTGGCTGTTGGCATTGCTTGAACAAATCACAAAACCATTGGAGGTCATGTCCCATTTGGAACCAGGATTGCCACCACAAACATCCACAAACCTTCATTGGCTTCACATTGTTGCAGGACAGCCTCTTGTAACAGATTCGCTCTCAGTTGGGCCCTGCTTCCACTTGACCGGCTCAGGTCTATGCTCTTCGCGAGCGATCTCACAATGGAGCTCCATGCTGGGTGCAGGTGGGATACTCCGAAATCGATTCCAATGTACCTTCGTTATATATCTTGCGTTTGTGAAGCCAAGAACCATCGGACCATGGTGAAGTCCGGTTCCTCTCCAGTTCTTGAGGCGTGAAAACCTAGCTCTTGCATTACAGGCTGGTGTTAGTCTAAAGCCAAGTCGAACAATTAAAGCTCAGCGTTGTTGTTGCTCCAAGTGTTTGTTCGAGTGAGATCCTCGATTTTGGTGAACAAATGGGCAGGGTTGCACCTGCCAAAGGCTGTGTTTCAGGGAAATGTTTTAATGTACAGATCATTCAAGTCGATTTTGCTATTTCAATAGGCTTCCATTGGCTCAACTTCGTACCAGCTTCTACTAACCTGCAAGCAAAGACCGAAAATGACTGAAGACAGGGCCATTCTTTTGTTTTTTGGGCATCTATAATGGCGGTTCACGAGCCTATTCTATATGAACACTACGTGGGGTCGAGACGATGTCGGTTTCCAAGCCTCGAGCCGCTCAGGTTCAGCCAAGTGGCTCCACACAGGTGGGGCACCAAAAGGTGCGGGATGGCGGGATGGTGTGGGGTTCAACTTGGTCTGGGTGCACTGGGTGCACTAATTGCACGGGCAATGAAGAGGTCCACAGTTCCAACATCTTCCAACAAGTCTGTTTTGGGGGGGTAGGCGGGCCGTATTGGTTTCTGAACGCTGCTTGTGGGACTTTGATGAAGCGCTAGCTTTCCAGCAAATTGTCCTTGCCTTTTGACACTCTCGCATGATATTGAACGGTTCTGTTTTGATTTTGATGGTCGATGATCATCATGTCTCGCCCAAGTGTAGCAATGGAAGAATCCATTCCAGCTCTTGGCATGGAGCCTTAAACTGGTTTACCTCTTGTTCCTCGGCCCGAAAGTGATGCTCCATGGCTGGGCACGAACTGAAGGGATCCCTTTTCGCCGTTCCCAACGGAAGAGAGCGATCGGCAGCACAAGGTCGTCTCAAAGTCTCAAGAATTGAAGAAGCTTTTGCAAAAAAAGGACATTAAGGTCAGCCTGGTTCTTGGTATTTCTTTGCTATTGTGACACCTGAATGTGAAGTTCTAATTGTTGCTTTTTTTTCGAAGGCTTGCAAAACACGAGACACTCCGAAAGGCAAGATTCCCATTCCCATGGATGATCTCCACCCGGTTCTTCAAAGTGACCTTCCCAGTTTTGAGGCCACTTCGGCCCATTCATCCAAAGGTCACTTTGGCACTCCGAGGTCCATGCCGAGCCAGAGCACGTGCCGCGAGTCCCACCCCACGATCCGCTCAAACCACAAACCCCCAGGTGTGGCACCTCGACTCGCCGGGCTCTCGTGGGTCATCGACTAGGCCGCCGGGTTCGGACTGGAGTCCGACCCTTCAAGCTGGGCCTGTCCGGTGTGTCCCTCTTAAGGATAGGGGAGGGGCCCAAAAAGGCGGGAAATTCCGGTCATGGAACCAAGCTGTGGGAAGCTTCCATTGGATTTCCTTGGGTTGTAGCTTTGCGTAATGTTTTAGATCGGGTCAAATCACGTAGGATTGACTTGCATCAGTTTCCTTTAGACAACAAAGAGGTGTCTCTTCTAAATAGGCACTTGTCGATTCTAGTTTGCACTGTCCTGGTAGTGACCAGGAATCTCTATAATCATAGTGTTTGTTCGGTGTTTGTGTTCGTTTCACATAACACAGAGAGGTTGTTTGTGGTTGTTTGGTTCCAACGGAGAATGCACAGATGTTCCTCAGAACGCGGGCTACATCTGTGAGGTTTTTCTTCACATGGTGAAACTGAGTCTGTGACTAAAGGGTGCTACAGCCGGTGTTTTTTCCTGCACATCTCCTGCGAGTCACATGCTTGATTTCTACGATGTGCTTCACTTGCAATAACCCGCCAGTTAGCACGAAGCTGATCCGGACACTCCGGTGGCAGCACGTCTTCACTCTGACGCTCCGGTGGCGCGATCCTCAGCGGACCCGTCGGGATGGATCCATCGCTCAGGACCCAAGCTCTTCTGAAGGTCCATGGGTGCCACACTTAGACAACAACGATGGCACGATTTGATCAGAATGATGTAAATCAGAACGATCATAATGTATTTTATCATTCTTCTGGAGGAGCAGTTGGATGTTGCATCAACAAGGTTATAGGGCTCTCTCTTGATTCGCTTGTTTTGTCAGGCGCTCATGGCTCATGCTATTTCTCTATTGTCTATTGTTGCGTGGTGCAGGTTTCTTAAAATCGGGGTGTCCAGTCTCTAGTTGTTCTATGTTCTGTTTGTGTATGCCTGACATTGCGTTGCCTTGAACAGATGGCAACCTTGCTTCATGAAATGTTCTGGACTAGCACCTAAGTAGAAACCCTCCAGGACCGGCGTTGCACACGGAATGCTTTGCTTGGCATATTCTCAGCCCTAAGACTGCGACCCTTCAGCTGATTGTGAGGCCTTAGGAGCCTTTTCGAAGGACCGGATGGACTTCCAGACCGCGGTTCAGCTGGCGGTTTCCCCACGTGACGGTGTCAAAGCTCACACAACGCCGCTCAAGAAGTTTGCGGTGTCAAGACGGGCGCCAGGAGCTGAAGAACTTTGTTTCGGAAAAACGGTGCAAGATGCAAGGGTTTTGCCAGGGTCATAAGTGGTCAGTGGTCACAACTGGTCATAGCCGAGCTGCAGCAGGTGCATGTTTATCTAAAGGTTTTTGATTTGCAGCTGTACCAAGTGTGTGGCAGCTGTAATGCGTAGCGGGAGGTTCGTGGTCTGCTCTTGTGTTCTTTGGCAAGATGTTGACGATGGGAACAATCATTTGCGGATTTCAGAGACCAACAAAGTGTGTGAGTCTACTTTCTTCAAAGTACTGTGCAGCTTGCCGCAGCAGCGCCGAGCTCAAACCCGGTCTCCACGACCTCTCCACAGACATCAAGACACCGGGAAGAAAAGCTTATGATATTCACATTGGCAAGAAAAGCTTGATCTTGCAATAGGAAACAATGTTCCAGAACATCCAGTTTGAAAGCACTGCAGGGTGTCGAGCTCGGAGCTAGCTCAGTCGGTTTGCCACAGCCAAGCCCAGACTCTCTCTCGAGTCAATGGAAAATGTCACGAACTTCACCAACTTCGAGGAGTTCGTGGCAGCAGTTCCGCAGGTGGCCGGCCAGTCTGAAAGAGCATTGACGTGCCTTGGCAGCGGAAACCAAGAGGGTGGGAATGTTGGGAGTTTTGAACCGGATTCAACAGTCATGCTGTTTAAGGACTTTCAGGTATCGTATGATATACTACATGATAGTTCTAGACGGCCACCCAATGGATGAACGGCTTGGAGCTGCCTTCTGTGCTTTTTCTAGAGAGAATTCCAAGTAGCTGCCAGGTTTGTCGGCATCATGTTCGCAATAGCCCTGCTCCCGAGCTTGCAAGCAGCGCACGCTGCGCGTGTGGGGAAGGATTTTGTTGCTGCGATCAGGTCGTGAGGTTTAGGTGATGCGGACATGTTATAATGAGAAGACGAAAAGACCATTTAGAGCTTCCATTGCAAGTGACACGCCCAAGCCCCTAAGAAGCAACCCTACTCTTATGATCCTCGCCACATATATATGGCGCTTTCTCAGGCAAGCATGGAAGCTGAACAGGCCTGCATGGTAGAGGAACAACAAGTCAGGATGCTATGGGATTGTTCGGGGGAAGATGTATGGGTTCTACATGGTTCTACATGGTTCTACATGGTTCTAGGGACCTTTGGTTCAACAGCATGTGCTGCTTGTACCATCACAACAACTTTTGGCCCGGTTGCTAACACCTTCTTTCGGGTCCGGAGAATGATGAAGGTTGCAACTTGCAACCCACTTTTCAATGCGGTCGGGCAGTAGATGAGTCATCATATGGTAAAACCACAAGACCCATGGTTCCTATAGAGCAAAGTACCAACACACTGACCAGTTGCCGATCTTCAAGATAGACCCGCTGCCATTACCGGAAGGGGTTCAAAACCGCCGCTTTCAGCAGCGAAGGTTGACTCAAGCCATTGGCACCGCGGTGCTCTTTTGCGCCGGAATGCTCAAAGCACCAAACCCCGAAAGTGACTCGACGCGGCTGATGGCGGAGATTTGGCAGCATATTTCCACCAAGTGGCTAAAATCGACGGATTTCGTAGGCTCATCCATGGCTCCTGTAACTTGAAGTAGAATACAATAATCTGTATGTCGCCTTTTAAAATCACCAGATTCAATCACTGTTGTACAACTATTCCACCATTCTTTAAATCTTATCTCCCTCAAGGTCTCGATCTCAGTTGGCTTTTTGGCCACTGCACTCACTGAGGACACTGTGGGCGCTGCCACGATCGACGTCCACGCGCCGGACAGTGACCCGTCGACCGCGACGGACGTGGCGCCGGAGGCGGCAGAGGCGGCGCAGGCCGTGCAGCCGACGTCGACCCCAGAGGCGCTGCCCTGGGTGAAGCACCGACCGCGCTACGTCGTGGCGGCCTTTTCGGCGACGTATCTCCTCTGCGTGGCCGTGCCACAGCTGAATTGGAGCGGATCGGAGGGATTGGCACCGGGACGAGGTCCATGTGCAACACTTCACTCGAACGACAACGGTTTTGATTCCGTAGTTGGATGCCTCGAATTGCAGCAAATAATTAGTTGCCTGCTCAATTTCCGCACGGGTTTATCTTCATTTACCATTGGCAGCAAGCTGTGAGCACCGGCTTTTCCATGAGGTCTTCAGCCTTTCTTTGCAAACATGGTTCTTGTTCCCTCAGGCGGCTGCATCAAGCTTGGCCACCAACCAGCTGAGCCCAGAACATGGGCTGAGCTGGGAGGTGTACACAGGGCTCTTCAGCTGTGGATGTGTGTGGCTGCTCGCTCAGGCTCTTCGATTGGAATTTGGAACCACTTGGGTGTTGACCAGAAACATGCGACAGGATTGGGTGGCGCCTCTTTGACCATTCTTGGAATACCAAATGTTTGAGAAATATGGCATCGCTTTGGCAAAACTGTATAAGCTTTTGTCAACCCTTTCTCCAAAGTTGATCAGATAATAGATTATCATAGCACTTGTTGGATCTTGTTGGCAGACTGTGACAGGCCGTCCTCGCAGCCATACGGCTGCCGGCCGGGCGGCACTATGGCATGCTCTCTTTCACGGAGGCCATGATTTCTGGCGTTTGCCCCTTCGTGTCGGATTCCTTCGACACCATGCGACTTCGTCCGAACTTCAGCTAGTCCCAGGGCATCTACAGAAGGATCTCATAAAGTGAATTCCCAGGCCATTCTTTAGTAAGATTAAGCTGGTTGATGAGGTTCGTGGAGTCTGATTTTTAAGAGGCACACTTGTTGCAATTGATGTTGAATTGTAAGCCACACGCTCGCATCCAGCCTGGAGATGCCAATGGCCATCCGGCTTCAAAACATGTCACATTCAATGATCACTGAAAAACTGTACCACTGAAAACAACGGTCTCCTACTCAATGATCCCTATTGTTCTCATTGTTCTCAAAGCTTTTGGAGAACGGATTCCTCTCCTTTCTCGTCGGTGCGGTACGGCTTCAGGCAGCCGATGGGGAGAGACACGTTCTCGGAGGGAAAACCAGGTCTCCTCGGGGAAAAAACGGATGGTTTGTTTTTCCTCACCATGGAGTTCTGTTTGGGAGATGTTTTTTGTTAGTTTTAGTTTTAACTGTTTTTTTGAAATTTTTGGAAAATATTGAAAATGTTTGAAAGTATTTGTCTTGGACTGGTAGGTGGGGTGGGGGGAGGTATGTGCACAGTTCTCAACGTGTGATTTGTTCAGCCCAGTGTCCAGAATGTGCTGGCGGATTGCTTCTTTAAGCTACAATGTTGGTATGGGCCATTTGGATTCAGGATCCTTTAAGGTGGCATCTGGCAGCACGGGAGTGAGACTTAATTCCAAGGGGCTTATAAGTGATGCATTGAGAGTTCGCCTCAGATCCAAAGGAGACGGACGATGCCACGAAATGACGAGAGGAACGCATCGGTTGTTCGACCGCCCGGAGTCCTGGCATGTTCTTGTTCCGAGGAAGGACATCCTCTTCGCCTTCCTTTGCTTTGCAGCGGAGGACGCGTTCGTCCAAGCGCTTGGGGCACTCACTTTAATCTGGCTGGTGACGTTCCTTGGCATATATAATGAGTATGGGCATGGTGAGGTGCTGGGCAGGTCTAGGAGGGTTGTTGGTTGAGCTGTTTGTAGTGGACCCAGTTGCAAGCGAGCTATAGCTAGCTGCAATGTCATAGTGCTAATGGCTCCGCTGTAATTTGTTCTTTGAAGCCTCCCTCCGTTGCGGCTTCTGCGGACGTTGCAGGTTCCACATCATCTTGCTGCGAGATAAAAGATGCCAGCTGGAATTTGCCTCCAACCACCTGGCGGTGTTGCCTAGCAGCATTTTGACTTCAGGTGGATGCTTGGACAATGGAACACGTGAGTGAACACGTGGAACATGCAATTGCAGCATTTTGTTGACAATTCTTTGCCGTCCCAGGTTGTCATTGCCCACGTTTTCTGCTGACTCAACCGATGCCAGCAAGAAAGCTATCCAGGCCAAGGCTGAGAAGGCTCGTGCTTTTCCGAAAGTTGACTTAGTCCTCCGATATGCGTACAAAAGTTGCTCTAAGAGACAAAGTTGTCAACCGTAGAAACATGTGGAGTCACCTATCAGCAATCCATGCAATCTGACTGACTTGTGAACATGCACCAGAACGTTCGAGACTGGTTCAGGTTTCATGGACGAAGTGGGCCTTCAGCAAAGCCAGTGGCATGTGTCCAACCATTTGCTCAAAGCAAGTTTTGCTGACTGTTTTGCTCCTAAATGCTTATGTCATTATTTGCTTGTCCTTCCTGTGGGTCAGCTTGCCACCTCCTATCCCCCTTTATGCCCAGTCTTTGTTGAACTTTAATACAGCAAGTTGAGCGAAGATATTGCCAGTCCCACTGACCCCACGTGCTCTTGCTGAGGTGCTCTGAGTTGCTGCCGCTCCTCTACAAGCAGTTTACTCCCACGAAAAGAAGCTTGGCAATGGTCAGTGAGGGGAAACACCGAAGGGTCCACTTAAAGGTCAACGATCTTTTGAATCGTTTGAGCTGTTTTGCGTGCTATTTACAAACCTGGTGACGTTGTTGTTAAACGAAACACTCCTGCTGAGCAGTGGGGGGTTGCTCTAATTGATATCTTGGAAGTAAAAATCATCAGGAACTTGAGTTTGTCCCTTGCTTTTGCTTCATGCGGCTTCACATGTCCGGCCAAGGGAAGATGCTGCTGTGGGAGAATCTGGGCAGACAAGCCAGTACACCTGAGATGTTGCAACCATTGTGTGTCAGTCCATTCAGCAGGGTATGAGGTTGAGAAATGCTGGCAAGCCAACGCAGGCCTTTTTACAACCTACAGTCGATTACAATAAATTTACACATTGCATATCAGAGTGTGTCTTTCTTTGCTATTTTCCTACACGTGTTTGCACGTTTGCCCTACCCCCCAAGGAACGTTCCCCAAGCTGCGCCTTGCCTTACATTTCAGCGATCCACTCCCACTCGTTTCATTCAAGTTCAGTCCATGGACCAGTGACTAGCAGACGCAAAACCCGAAGGGTTCATGGGTTTTGATGGTTTTTGGATCAAAGCAGTTCCAATCGCTTTTGTGATGGCCCAAGTGGTTTGTGACCCAACAGCTGAACAGGGCCTTGCACTCAACGATTTGCGAGGCTTTGGCCATCCTCTACCTGGCTTTAGTCCCGGGAGGCAGCACCGTAGTGGCCGTTCTGAATCTCGCCGTTCCCATCGTTCAAGTGACTGGCACCTTTGTGTCTCGACCGCAGGAAGTGTTTGATTACCCCATGGTCCATTCGACCATGATTGACCGATTATGACAGGTCAAAAAAGGCTTCAAGCATCGGAAGAGACATTTTTATTGGCGATTGAGGGAAGGTGCATTGAGGGAAATCAGCAACAGAAACTCAGAATGTATCATAGAATCCAGATCATAGAATCCTCGTACAGTTGAAGTTATTTACCTTCCCACTGGTCAAGTGCAGCAAGTTGTTTGCTGAGATCTTCAGATGCCTTGCCTTTCATCATGTGTTCACCTTTCAAAATTTTGTCGATGTATTCGACGTGTGACCTCAGGTGCTGTTCAAACCATTGCAGCGCCGCATCGCTCCGAAGCTGGCCAGCAAACTGGACGCGGCGCTGGAGGCCGCCGACGGCGACCAAGTCGTCCGTCTGAAGGACGAGGCGAGGCCTGAGCTGGAGCAGTTGACATAAATGATGTGATCACAAGTCACAAACAGCCAAAAGCAAGGGACGCGTTGGATCTGTCATGATGTGTCTATTGTTTCATGCAGCTCCAATATATGGGTTCCTTTTTTTCTTGGTGTTTGCCTTGGATGTGGCTTGTGAATGTTTCTGATGCTACTTGTAACTTTGATTTTTAGCCCAGCCCCAGGAGACAGAAACTCAGTTGAAGGCCACTGGTTAGTTTCAGCTGGCTGGGCAAAATCCAACTCTCACAGGTTTCGGTTTGCACCTGAAAAAGATACGAACCATTGGATCCCAAAGTGTACCTATATAGTTTGAATATGTTTGAATCACAATTGGATTTCCCAGCTTCCCCAAATACCTCATAGAAGGTGTGGAGGCCAACCTTCTTGGTTTGAAGGTGTTCCTTTTCTGTCTTGTTTGGCAAACGAATGTCAAGCATCCCATGGACCGATACTTGCACCTTGGGAAGGCTGGCTTGGAGAATGACGCCGGTCTTTTTCGCGAAATCTGCGTGAAGAGCCACTTTGCCAAAGCTTAGCCAAATTGAAAGGCCTGTGACGGAGTTGACATGTGAAAGCAGCTGCATCAGTTTGCAGACATTGCAAGCTTACAAGTAGTTGGTATCAGCATGTATCAACCCACCAAGGCCATTTGCTGAAAGAGATCTCAGATCTGATCCAGTCAGACAGCACTCGTGAGGTCACAAGATCCAGCACTGACACTTGGACGCAGAGTTCGCAGGGTTCAGGGCCGGGATTCTCTCGCAAGACATAACTTTTAAAGGACTACTCAAGTCCAGGGATTTTTATATGTCAGGTGTATTCACTCGAATCATGTTGCAACCTGATAGATCAATGTGCTCTTCAGTTGAACAACTCTGGGACATGTGGAGACCTGAGTGTTTGTTGGCAAAGGATGCCTGGCAAAATTCTTGGAGCTTCTGTGCGCAGTGGTTTGCGGCGCTGAGCAGTGGCGAGTGGGACGCTGGGAAAGCAGTTTGAAGAAGCGTTGAAAGTGCGAGGACCATCAGTGTTGTTCCATTGAGTAGCTCATCCCTGGTTTGCCGAGTGAGACAGTGTGTACCTTTCAGATCACTTTTTGATGTTGAACTGGAGCAGTCTAGGGGTATAGGTGGAGGTTGCAAAGTGTTTTGGCGCATCGAATTCTGTGGCAAGGACCGCCTAGCGGTACCATGTCAAGCCTCACAGTGGGCTTTACTATAAGCAACTCCACAACGACAGACTGATCAGCTCCAAGGATCTCTCCGGAAAGCTCGAGGGAAAGGACAACCTCTTCAAGGCCAAAGGGCCTCCCTGAGCTCTCAAGCAAGCTCTCAAACAAGTATCGGATTTCTGCACCTTACGAACATGCAAATTCATCCCCGTCATGTCCTTTTGGCTCACGTCGTGTTTGCATGACCATCAGCTCCAGATGCTGGCGGTTGAGGTGAGATTGTTTCTGGTGAGATTGTTTTCGGAGGTGCGAGTGTGCACATTCCTTGTTTTCTCTACCCTTAGATTCTCGATTGTACCGACATCCACGGGGAAGTATTTGAGCAAGAGCCAGTAATTATTGTGGATATTGTATTTGCAGGCCTAAATTGCGCCACTTGGGAGAACCTTGCTGGAAAATCGCCCTCCGTCCTCCATTGACTAGTTTGTTCATTTTGAGGAATGCTGCGGGTAGGCCTCAACAACCTGTCCTTGCCGTAGGTTTTTTGAATGAATTGGGTAGAGTTTGGTACACACTTTGGGATCTTTTGTGTATTAGCAAAATCCTTGCATTTCATGTTGTTTTTTGTGTAGAAAAGCATGTCAGTATTCTGGAAATCCAGCGAGAGCTTTTGCAAGGCCATGGTGAAGATGGTCTCCTTCAACCTGGAGCCATTGCGCAATCTGAAGATTCTTGGCTTTCAACCTGAATGTTTATGGAACTAGAGGATGCCCTGAAGTACGGTCTGATGCCTTCCTTGACTGTGATCGAGGCTGAACTCTAACCAGATTCCGCCTTCATGGGCGAAGGTGGGTGGCTTCTTGAACCTTCAAGTTTTGATATAAAGAACTAAACGGAATTGGTGTTTCTTTTTATCAAAACGTTGTTTATTAGTGTTTCGAACTTCTTTTGACATTATGGTCGTTTTGACAAACTGCACTTCATCGCGGAATGATTCCTCGCATGTGGATTCACCAATTACGCTCCAAGAGCAGGAACTCGCACGGAGATGGTCCGGGAACCAGACCATAGTCCGCTTGGAGATGAGTGAGAATGCCCTCGGTGCAGATGGAGTGGAGGCGCGTGGAAGTTGATTTCCTTCGTTCATTTTGCCTGGTTGCACTGGTGCGAAGGGGTACTGAGAGGACTGTGCAACTCGTGCGTAGAGGGGTTTAGCAAATAAGTGCAACAAACATAGTGCTAAGGGTCTCCTCACACCGGTGCAAAGCATGAGCGGCCCCGGAGCAGCTGCAGCTTCGGTTGTGAAAGGCTTTTAGGTTTTGAAGTGAAGCATCCCTGGCACTACAGTATCGATGTTGGGTCAGGCGATGGGCTTCGTACCCTGATCGCTTGGTAGACTCTGCGGAAGCGGTCCCTGCTCCCGCGCGCTTGCTCATCCGGTATTGAGCTTTCATGCTTTGTTTTCTTATATTGGCGTATTCGCATTTTCCATAAAGGAGGGGAGAGAAAGATAAAAAGGCGAGAACAAAATTAGACAGATGTTGAGATGAGATCCTGAACATGTGTCCTTTTTTGTCTTTCTGATCGTCTGTAAGTCCCATTGACCCTGTTTCCTTTGGCCCAACAAGATTCTGTACCCAAGTCTACGGCATGAAGCTGGTGTGGAAACGGCCAATTCTGATTGGGAAGCTAGCTTCCATGTTTTTTCCTGTAGGAAACAATTAATGAGAAACTCCTTCAAGTTATTCGGCTTGTTTGCACTCTCGATACGACGGAGTTTTGCTGTGTCGGACACGTTGGACGTTCTTGCTGTGAGGCTCTTGCGAGATGTTTTCAACCAAGCACTCGCTTGGAATGTTTGGTCTTGGATAGCAACAGCTTTGGAGATAAAGGAGCCGAGGCCGGGATCAGGAAATGGACCACCCTCCATTGTTCGGACGCGCGTCAGTCTTGCGGAGCTATGTTGCGTGTGCCATGTAGTGGGTGTACAAAGTGGATCAATTTGGATCATGGGTTGCTTTGACGCAATGCATGCAGGGATGATATTGCATGAGAGAGAGAGAGAGTGTGGTGGGGAGGTCTTAGCTGAACGTTCAAACCTTTAAGAACTGAGTATTTGATTCATAAAAGACCGAATTGACCATCATTCCACCTTCCACATGCCATGCTGGGCGCGTTCGAAGAGTGAAACATGTGTTCACCTATTTGGACTTGTTCCATGCTCACAAGTGTGAGTTCTGTTGGTTTGGTATTGTCCTTTTTTAAGGACATGACAGGCTGTTGCAAGTTGCAAGAGAGCATGGTGGCGCAGTTGGGTGAAACATTTGATTGAGCAAGCTGACGAGCGGCTTATGAGAACTCGTAAAGGAAAGCATGCAAGTTGGGCCCATGCCTACAGTCTTTCCACATGGAACAATAGCCATGTATGATGCGATCCTTGGGTTAGAAAGTTCAAGATCTCAAGGCAGTTCAACTTGGAGTTGAAGGTTGCATGTTGGGTGGGCCGCTGGCCTCATTATTCTTCTCTTTGGTTTTTGGCATCATATTATGCAAAAGTGGGCAGAGCGTGAACCATTCCCTTGCAACACATAGTGACATAGTGGTGAGGTTTGAACTTTGAACCTTTGGGGGCTTGAGCGATTGACCGGCCTCGATGGATAGATGGCAAATGAAGTTTCAGTCTTGGTTCAATGGCCATCCAACCGTGAATCTTTTGAATGTCCTTGCTCCCAAATTGCCAGTGCAAGATGGGTCTCATTCTGCAGGCGCTGGGCACCATGCTCACCCAGAACCGATCTGTGCGCGAGCTCAGCGTCCGGCGAAATCAGTTCGGCGACAACGGAGCCAAGGCCAGCAGCGCGTTGATGTGTTGCACGGACGAAGAGAAGACTCCTGTAGATCAGGTCAATTGGTAGATCTATGTGTTAGACTGTCGTGTTTTGGCACCCTGTTGATCTTCATCCTGGAAAGGTGTGCGGTGTGGCCGGCTAAGCGAGCAAGAAAACTTTATTGCTGTGGAACTTTGGGAGTGTGAGGACACTTATATACCCAGCAACGCCTGCCAGGCCGTCGCCTTGGGCCTCAAAAGCCATCGAAGCCTCATGGCCTTGATTTTAGATGCGAATGACATTGCCGATGTGGGTGGTGAGGCCTGGCTTCTTTACAGGACGGCATGATTCTGGTGGTCCAAAGACATTGCCACACCACCCTGTAGGGCCCTAAATCATCTAACGAGTTGTTCTGAACAATGTGTTTTTTGTTTTACTGCAGGTCAAGACGTGCAAAAATGCTGTGTTGTGAAGTCGTGTTATTGTTTGCATCATGTAACTCTACAGCAAAGGCAAGGCACCGTTTTACAACCCCTCTTGCTACATACGTATATGTCAGTAGCAACTGTTGTGTTGCTGAGCCGATTGGTGAAATCCATGTGAATCCTATCTCAGTTCCTAGGACGCACAAGTCTTCAGGAGTCCAACGTGTCAACCAACAACAAGGTTCAGGCATTTGTTGTCTTAGCAAGTTTCACAGTAACAACATACACGTTCATGACAGCACTATGTTCTTTGAAACTTTGGCGCCCTACCACCCCCCTTCCGTGCCAATGCAAGTTCATGAAAACACCAAGCAACAACCTTCCCGGCAATCACAACGAAGGTTAAGCTATGCTAAACTGAAGGCAGTACTGAACGCAAAGGGCCTCAGCGGCCTCAGACAACCGGTGGTCATGGCATGACTTGCAAAAGCATCCAGAGCATGTCCGTGAGGCGTGACATCGTAAACAATAGGGCCTGAGGTTAGATGTGAGATGACGCCCAATGATGTGAGATGACGCCCTTTCGGTTTCAGTTGTTTTGTTGGGCAGGTGGTGCAGAAAACCTGGCTCCTCTCTTCAGACCACCTTGAACCCTCAAGAATTGTCAGCCGTTTAATTCGTCCCAGCTCCCAGCGAAGGATATAAGGACACGGTGTCAAAAAAACAACTTAGAACGCATATTCCTCATTGATGGTTTGCTGAATACTGTCGTTTTCTCCTTGTAGGATCAAGATGTGAATGCGCCATGTTTGACTAGATGACTGGAGTCCAGTTTGTGGAGGCGTTGGCGGATGCCTTGGACGGCGAGTTGCAGACCCTCCACATCCAGCTCAACAAGCTCGGTGACCGAGGCTGCAAGGCCCGAAGAGTCGCAGGGAGGTGCCGAGTCCTTCAGCTGTGTTGGTTTTCAAAGAAGTCGCCCAGCCGCCAGGCACTGGAGGAGGCCGAGCAACGCTCCAAGACCTTGGTCGATTTGAACATAGACGACAATGATGGCGAGGCATCTGAAGCATGTGGTGGACTGTGGGGTTTCAGAGGGTTCGTGAGGTCTTGAATGCTTGCGTGTTGCAGTCGTGTTGGACGTCAGGCATGGGCGGCAGAGGACATTTGGGCACACTTCTGCTGTGTTTCATTGATTGGTCACAATATTCTGGCAAGAATGGATGAGGTGTCATCTATAGTGTCATGCACTTCTCAATCAATATGTCGCACAACCACTGCACCATGGATTGCGCACAGGGTGAATCAGCTCCATTTTTCACGGAGGGCAAGGAGTTTTTCACACATGTGGCGTGAATTAGCTTCATGCATTCGAGATGTTTCTCTCAATTTGCATTCAAGTTGCAGATTTCAATAATTCAATCTCGTGCTTTTTCAAAAAAACACAAAGAAAAGCCCTTCACACTAAACGCCCTTCAACGGAACTTCACTTCGTGGCCGTCGCGGCCTTTTGGGTCCAGGAGAGCTCGCTCCAGGAGACCGCCACCCTCACAGGACACCGCGACACCGTAGGGCAGGCCATCAGGACCGGCGCCGCCACGGCCGTAACATGCAGCTACGACCGCACCCTGAGGGTCTGGGACCTGATGACGAGCACGTGCACCGCCACGCTCACCGGACACGGCAGCAGGGTCTACGCCCTGTGCATGGTCGACCGCTTCACCGTGGCCTCCGGCAGCCAATCGGGCGAGGTGAAGATCTTTGACCTGCGGTCCGGGCGGTGCACGGCGACCATCGCCACGGGGCACGGCTGCGTTTCTGCCCTTTGCCGCTGGGGAAACGACCAAATCGCGACCGGAGGCTCTGACAAGACCATCCGATTCTGGGAGGTCGCCTCCGGCCGCTGCGTCTGCACGTTGCGCGGGCACACCGATTTTGTAAGGGCCGTGCGCAGGGTCACCGCGACGCTCCTGGCCAGCGCCAGTGACGACGGCACGGTCAAGACGTGGGATCGGCGCACGGAGCAATGTCTGGCAACACTGAAAGGACACGAAGGCAAGGTTTTCGCCCTGGTGAGGTTGTCTCACGGCAGCGTGGCCTCAGGCGGTAGAGACGACACCATCAAAATCTGGTGCCTGGAGACGGCCGCCTGCCGCCTCACGCTGACGGGCCACACCGACGCGGTATGGGCGCTCGCCCGTTTGGGCTCCCGCACGCTGGCCAGCGGCAGCAAAGACCAAACGATCCGCTTGTGGAATCTGGTGACCGGTGCGTGTAACCAGGTCCTGCATGGCCACGGCGCTAGCGTTCGGGCGCTTGTGCGCATGGATGCCGCCACGCTGGTGTCCGGCGACGATAGCGGTGTCCTAAAGGTGTGGCGGAGCTCCGAGGCGACGCCCAAAGAGCAGCTGCAGGGGGATCCTAGGCGGAGAGAGCGGCCGACACGGCAGGTGGAAGTGTCCAACGCTTCGGGTCTCTCAGAAGGTCCAAGTTGTTTTTTGAAATGAACGGGATTTGTTGAATAATGCATGGCACTGTTGGAGGCTTGTTTTCTATCCACGTTGTTTTTACAATGGAATTTGTTGAGTGCATTGCACTGTTGAAGGTTTGTTTTCTATTCGCAGCGTTTTTTCTCCCGCATCACTTGTGGCTTCAGTGTCTTGCCGAGGCCCAATGATAGCCAGAAGTAAGGGCTGAAGCGGCCAAGGGCCCAGAAACGCATGCCTTCGAGTGGTGGTGATGCTTGTATATTTCCTGCAGTGCCGTTGTTTGTCGAACCGGCTGAGATGAGCCAAGTGTGTGCTGAAACTTTTGGAAACCTCACGAGAGACGCGCCAGGCTTTGAAGATTAAACGTGAGCAGACAGGAGATGGTGGAGTCTGTGATCGAGCTCATGTGTGGGTGTGCATTGGCTTGAAGATGTTTGAGCACTTGGGGCCAGCCGCTCGAGTCGACCCAGACTGCGGAGGAGATGAGACCACCTGCCTGCCGCTCGGGAGCTACTCGGAGCAGCGCTTCGAAGCTTCGAGGCGGGAGGACACGGCGTCGCTTGCACCGCGTGGACGATTCTATAGGTCTGGGTGGAGCTAGCTTTGAGCCGTGTGGGGCGTCAGATGTCCTTCTTCATGTTCAGCAAGTTTCTCATCTTGTTGATGTTCATATATAGTTCATATGAAGTTTACCATGTACCAAATCTGCCAAGTCTGTCCACAGAATCCTGTTATGGTGAGAACTCTTCAGCTTCGACGGTGCCAGGCGAATAGCTCCATACTTGGCACTGATTGCCTTGCATCACGGTGTCAGCTTCAACTCGTGAGGGCAAGGTTACCGATTTGGTCGACTCAGCTGAGTGCAACATATATGGAGCTCATTTGTTAAAGTATACAACTCTCAGAGGTTGATGAGGTTGCATGGTTTTTTGGGGCCTGCCTGTAGTGTAGGATCACCTTGCTCTTTTTTCAAGAGCCGGACCCCTCTTTTATTGTCTTCAAATGCTGTGAATTTGGGGCTGTCCAGCGATGACGCTATATCTGGTCAAGCCGGAGCAGAGAGAGAGCTTTTGTTTTTCCCTTCGCAGCAAGTCATACGTATAATGAAAGTGTTCATCCAATGTCCAAAAACGGCTGAAGAAGGAGATCACAACCTTGCCTTTTCCTGTCCAACTTGACACCGGATCCGCTTGGAGCATTATCCGCAACGCTGGCCCGTTGGGCTTCATGGGACAAGATACATAAGGTGAAAAAGGATGCTCTATTTAGTGCTCTATTTAGGCCTTGGGTCAACCACCTTTTTACGAGGACTATGTGCTTAGTCAAAAGTCCTGTCTATCAAGACCTGCAGTCTTCTTGAGAAAAGACATCCGACCACCATCCACCATCAAAGATACTGCAAGCAATGGCGCCTTCAATATGGTTCATTCTTTGAGGTCAATTGTCGCATTCTGGCTGAGTACAAATTCAATCCAAGATTCATTTAGTGCATTGAGCACATAGAGGCTTGCCAACTCATCGAAATGTTGCTCATCGACCAGCCCTGCGGCTAACGATCCGAGCTGCCACTGGCCTGGTCTGCGGTCCGCACAGAAGGTGGGCCAATCCCAACGGTCCCAACGGCTTGATCAAAGGAAGTTTAGTGTGCAAAACTTCCGTGTTACGGACATTCAACAGCTGTTCAACCACCACTCATCATACACCACTCATCATACACCACTCATCATACACCACTCATCATACACCACTCATCATACACCACTCATCATACACCACTCATCATACAC